ACAACGAACCTTTATTAGGTTTTGAAAGCAATAGCCAAGTGATACAACAGAAATTTAGGCGATCTTTGCGCAGTTTATGTCAACTTTTAGCTTGAAGTAGGTTCAGGTATTGGTTTGTTCTGAGTGGTGTAAAAATTTCAAATAGACAGCATGTAATAGGGTCTAAGTGGTCTTAATTGGTGCTGACAACTGATCACCCTTGAGATTTACGCATGGATGACCATGCATCCAATCCTTTTATGGACACAGTGAGGGGGTGCCAAGTTGTTGGTTCGCAACTTCTTCAGCAATTTAGTGCACCAAATTTTCCGTAGCGCTTTGCTTTTATACTATGAAGTAAGGTTGAGGTAGGTCCAGGTACCAGGCCCACCTGATCGCTTCAAGAAGGGCAAAACTGATGGGATATCTGAGGTTGCCATCGGCCTTATGAGTAATATTGAAGGAAACAAAGTGGCTTTGTGATCCATCGTCTAATTCGGGCGCACGGGCGTACAGTTGTTTGATATTCGATACGGATAACGACTTGGACCTCGAAAATACTGTCCGGTAAAAAAGTAAACTTGATGGATGTTCTGGGGCTACACACCCGTGGGGGAAATGGTTATGTGCATGGGACATGTATTAAACGGAAGGACTCTTGACCACTCATATCTTTTAATGATAGCTTGCATGCGCCGCTTTGCACGTGTTCCGTAGTTGGAGGGTGATTTTCTGAGGGTGGCTTCATAAAATGGCTGGCCACCTAGAGTTTTGGGGTACCAGCGTACATGCCTCTGTGCGTTCAGCGCAACCGGTGGTCGCGTGAACAGCTACGCCACTCGTTGGGGTTTCGCATATATATGCACCGTGGGAAGCCTAATGGGTGTGCATCCCAAAATCGCCAGTTAACCATCTCCGGTACTTAATTCCTGATTTTCGAAACTGTCCCTGCCTTGAAAACGTCTCGATGACCTGTGCTGTATTTTGCTCCCATTCCCAGTGACTGCTCTACTTCGCTCAGCCTAGAGATTCCCAATTAGTTTTGCACTACTGAAGGCGAATCCAGTAGCATGGTGAACGAAACTTTCAGTGTGATTTTGCTCGCCAGGTCACCCGTTCCGCCCTTTTCGGTCTTTAGTTACACGCATGATCACCCAACTTAATGTGTTCGATTGTATGTGAACCCTCCATGAAGGAACGAACACCAAGAGATTCAGGCAACGTAGTCAGTCACCTCGTGTTCGGCAATCTATTTTGATCCGCACGAGTCGGAGAAATCCGTGACTCAACGTATATGAAGTCGATCGAGACGGCAAGTAGCTGTCAAGCTGTCTCAAATCAGTACTGAAACGTTGAGACGGATAAAACTGGTGTATGGTTAGCGAGTTACTTGTAATCGGGAGGGGGGTTTCCAGCGGAGCGAAACGTACAGCTGTGTAGAAGGTTTTTATACACAAGACTTAGGTGTAAAAATGTTGTTAATAATTTCTATGACAGGAAAATGCTCAGTTTCTCAATTTAATTCACAGGTTGGCTTGGTAACAGTAACAGTTCTATTGTCTGGAACTCTGAAACAGGTTCCTTTCTCTCTCAAAAGTACCCAGTTTTGTTATCTTTAGGCCCTGGTCTTGTACACAAGACGACTTATTAATATTGTTTCGCAACTGCTATTTTCCCAGGATGTTCAAGAGAGACGTCGTCAAGAATTACATCGCACTAATTTACGGATGCATACAGCCATGCGCGATCAAAACAGGGAGGCCACCGTAAACACAGATATGGCTGAGGAGCCTACACCAGTACCTGTCGGTCGCTCTTCCATTGTACCTTTTCTACAAAATCTTCCTGTGCCATCTCCACGAACGAAATCAACCTTTGGTTCTGTGCCTGGGTCGGGAGATGAAACCCATCCCAGTCCTGTATCCACTCTGCGTGCGCTCAACGCTAAGGAATATACGGGCACAAAGGTATCCATGGCCTTCTGTTTTAATGTTCCAAGTATACTTTCCTCACATTACATCACCGGAAGCCAGTTCCTTCGTCTTGCCCACAATAGCATACGCTCTCTCCTATTCAACAAATCCTGGGTGTGCAGTGCCATAAAATAGAATTTTCGTCGACTACAATAACTTTGTTTCAGAGGACCAGTGGTTTGCAAACAGTCACTGCACCAATAGCCCTTCCCACAAACAGAGTGAATAGTAAACAAAACCCTACTCCCCCAGCGTTTTATACATCTCGCATTTACTGCACGCTTACATACCAGTGTTTGTTTGTTCGATCGACTCCTTGTCTTTGAAACGTAGACACCAATGTGGGGCTTTTGATCTATTGGTTGCACACATTTTTTACTGCACACATTCAGTTATGCGCCCACTCGGCTTCCCAGGTTCATCCTGACCTTCTTACCAAGATTTCACTGGAAAATCTCCTTTCCAAGTTTGCCTTTTATTGATGATTCTAATTGAACGTTCTTATGGAAGGTACCAGTCGAGCATGTCTTGAACGTGTTGGTGAATTTTCGTAGGTGCCACACAAAATTGTCTGTGTAAGGCTAACCTCGTAGTGTTCTACGGCTCAGCGAATGCTGGTATCCAGTGACAGGCAGTTGAGTTTGGTAGCTCACTGAGTTTAACGATGACCACGTTAAAACTTTGCAGGGTATGGTTGGTATAATTCGACGTTTCTCCGGAGGGTTACTGGCAGTGAATACAGCAGCTTATGTCTCGTATGAGAAGTCGGTATGCTATCCATCACTGCTAGGTGTGTGCAAGAGAAACTCTTGAAGAACATGCAGTGCCTTCTCTGGAACTAGCCTGCTATAGACTCTTGGTTATTTGTGAAAGTTTATCCTGATAGTTGTCCACATTTCGGTGGTATTTCTAGTTACAACTATGGGATGCTGACAAATTACAGACCACTGTTGCCGTTTGCAACTAGGCTTGAGATTACTCAGTAGTTCTGGCGCTAACTCAGTGACCAGAAGGCCCATGTTTGGAACACAACCTCAGCATCTCGACTGCTCCCGTCCAGGCCTGAACAACAACAATATCTCAGTTCTCGTGCTGCCTTCGGGTGGCATGGTAGCCGTGCACCGAAGGGATGTCATAGTTGAGGAGTTATTATTTGATTTGTGATTTGATCGTTACGCTCTTTTCTGTATTCGTGGCTTTACTTTTTGAACTTGCCGCCATATTTCCCTTTTTGAAATTTTCTACTTGTGTTACTCACGCGTGTTACCCACGCTGTAAATCTCAACTTTATTCTCTGGTTTGTCTTATAGAACACCCGCGAATTCATTTGTCCGTGTAAAAGTGAAGCAACCTGTCCTCTGAATCCAGCCAAGCGGTGTCGTTTTGTAAGTACCTGGTTGATTTTTACCGCAAGAAGCTCCGTTCATATTGTCCCTTCATGTCGCCTTATCCGTGTGCCAATAGTTTTGACTCCCAGCTGAGCCGAGCTTTGAATTATTTTTGTGATCCTCTGTTATTTTTGGCTAAGAGGCGCTTTATCGGCTTACTTCTGGGAATTTTATTTTGACACTCGAAGAGTTTCTCATACTAAGATGATCAATGTATAGAAGTTGAATGAACATGCCTAACTGCGGTTCTTGCAAGCCCATCTTTAGCCACAGTCCCAAACTTCTCGAAGCCACTTGTCAAACTCCAAGAGCCTGTTCACTTCGCTGCACTTAGCATTCGCACACTGAAGCAAACAGCACAACAAGCGGCTCTTGTTCGTACGCTGGATTCCATCTGCACTGGTGTATGCCGCCGTCGAAGACTGGGATTCAGGATTTATTGTGATTGGACTTGTCGTTCTTTCGCTCTCTTTCTTCTTCGCTTTCTTTGTGTGCACCTCTGGTGACGGGGAATTCGCTACAGCTGTATACGCCGGGGTGGAAATTGTGTAAAGCTATCTAGTGGAGACATCTCTATCTGACTGGATACCTGGATTGGGCGCGAGATGTACGGACAACGGAGAGCGCTCACTGCAGCACTGTACCGGTCATAGACTGTTCCTTTGCAGTACCAGTTTTCGGAACGGCGGAATTCGTTTAACCATGTGGCGCTCACCAGCGAACCAGCCCATAGCCCACATTGCTATCGGTTACCAGTGGTGACGATCGTGGACTGTGAATATGGACCCCCCTCCGGTTCCAGAATTGTCTGGATGTACATTCTCCAGGCGTCTCGGTGTCCCTGTTAGCGACAACCCCTCGCCTGCTCTGTTCGAGGCCGGCGGTGAACCCTTCATTGTGTGGCTATCTAACTTATTTGAGTCTATGTGGCAGAAAGCAACCGTTCAAGTTGACTAGTGTGGGGCAACAGTGGTGCCCATAATCAAAATGGTACTGGAGAAACCTTGACCCATGAGAATCAAACTTGAGTTCGACTGGGCTGAGGTTGCATTAATCACATGTGCACACCTCGTCAGGTGTTGGAGCAACGCCATATGTGTACAGGCGACACCCAACTTTGGTGTTTATTGCCTTCAAGGGTTAATCGGTCAGTCTTTATAACTACACCCACTCAACAGGGAATGATCACAGTAGTTTGTAAGCATATTGCGGTCTCTCTATTCTTTTCCTGGTGTGCGAGTGTCTGAGGAGCACCTTGAAAACTCCACAACAAACCCGACGTTCGTCAAGGTTCTCTACTCCACTTTTGTCCCACTCGGGATCAATGAAATAATACCCTCACTGTGGGGTCGAAATCTTATGTTCGCAGGCATCGAGTGCACACCACATAGCTTTCCTTAGATGGAATCCCATCCGAATGCACAATAATACATAACCCATGTAATTGTGTCCCACGCCTTGGTACGGTAATCCACATAGAATGGGCAACACCAAATCCGAACTTCGTGAGTGCATATCAGCCAATGGATGTAAAATCTATTGTCCAGCTGTAACACCCTTTCGGTGCCTAGTTGCCATGCCACCCGAGGGAAGCACGATGGCTGGGATACTGTCAGGTTGCCCAAATCTAGAGAGGGGAAGTCGAGAGGCAGAGGTCGGGTTCGAACCACGGACCTTGAAGTTGTAGACAAACTTAATGAAATAACTGACCGTACAGCTGTAATACCCTTTCGGTGCCTGGCTGCCATGCCACCCAAGAAAGCATGATGACTTATGCTGTCAGGTTGGGATGCTTGACCAACCGCTGAGCTATCTCTTGCTTTATCTTTTCAACCCGCAACATCTGCGACGGGTGCCTGACAGCAACTTGCCTACAAACGGCCAATAATACTAGACTGTTTCCTACATTATCTTGTTCGCCGAAAATTTGACTGCTGCGGAATTAGCACGTTAGAAATCTCTTAGGGTTTAGCCATCATTGTCCATCCACTTCTTCTGAGTACTCAGTACTGCGAGTTGACGGTTCATAACTGATCTAGCAAACCTTTTCTTCGAAGTTATATCTAATCCTTCTGTGTTCTTTTTGGTTTGACTTGTCGTATGCAGCTGAACTCAGTAGGCCACCAGCAAACACGCGTGTTCTGCTTTCCTTTTTTCAGGCTAACGATAGTCGTGTCGCCCATGGGTTTACGTTACTCGCTGCTGCTTTTCGTGGTCGTTTCATTCGTCAGCTGCTTGCCACGCACAAAGTTTTCGATTTAATACGCACAGTAAAGGTTAGTCAAGGGGGGTGCCATGAATTCCTAACCTGATCCGTGAACTTGCCTTTTCTGTTGACTCGCTTGACCAGTGTTCATTTGAATTTCTAATGGTTCCCTGATTACTGTGTCACTGCAGTTTAATCAGTTTGTAATTGAGCTGAAGCACAGCTAGATCGGACAATAGACGAGTGTTACATTAAGAAAGGACAGTGTATAACTAAAAACCAATTCCGCTTATTATACTGTTGACGACCTGAAATTTCGTGGGCGTTCTTGGTTGAGCTCCCACTTAGTGTGCATATTTTTCCCGAAAGCTGTAGTTTAAATATCGGCTACGCCATTTTCACGATCGCTTGCGTACTGTGTACCTACATAATACTGTTTATATACCTTTTGTCACGTTTCCCCTTTGCTAGTGCCTCTTGCTTTTTGTTGGACATCGAAAGTCTGCCTGTTTTGTTTCCAGGATTCTGCAAAACTTGCCTTGTCTATCCACGTGGAACGTGCAGCCTTGGGCTCAAAGATCAACGAGCAAAAACCTTCCGAATTTGGATTACAGACGGACAGATATGATCGCTTTTCAAATGAAGAGCTGGCCCTAGAATCCCGTCTACTCGCTCAGCTTCGAGGAGCACTCGTTCAATTGCATGATATTTTCTTTTCTTGGCCTCTAACTAGCCAGATTGAGTTGCTGAACGTCTCACGTTCATTGCCTCAACGCAGTAGACGCCCACTCGGCAAGTCCGGCATTCCCCTGGAAGATCAACATTCTCCAGGTGCTAAGTCGGACTCATTCGCAGACGACTGGACTGCACGAGATCATTGTGATCATCAACGAAAGCGAAAGCCCAGTGGGCTTCGATGTTCCCAGAGGTATGTCCAGACCTTCTTCATTCTTTGGTTTTTCGTTTGCCGGCTCATCTCTTGAGATCCTCTACCCCGGCAATAATGCTGTTCCGTACGATCCTTCATTTGAATCGACGTGTGGTCACTTCACCCTAGTAAGATGGAATTTTTTGGAGAATGTTGCCAGTTCTCCAAATTGATGTGACTTCTTTTTTCGGTGTGCAACCTTCAGAAGTCGGGTCGACTGCTGTTGGTCTTGAATGTTATGCATCTCGGAAGTGAATTTGGAACCTAGTTTCCATTTTCAGTTTCACCGAAGTTGTTTCGCATCGTAAGAAGTGGCCCTTGGGAATCAGTCTCCCCGCTAATGCCGAATGGTGACCCTGCCCAATATAGTTATGTCACGCGAACCGGCATCATACTCACCACCTTCACTGCGTAGCAACTAAGACTGGAGGGATAGTTTTACGGCTATCAATATATCGAACGATTTGGCCATGGTTTTCAAACTAGGTGAAGACAACTGGACATCACAGTTCACTAGTGAAGCCGGGAGACATAAGTTACGAGTTTTAGTATTTCGAATCACTTTCACTACCCGCAGACGTAGAGCTTTAAATACTTGTAGGTAACGGGCACTCTTACAAACCCGTCACCCAATCTGACCAGCATAGCTATGAAAAAAAGAGATTGTGATGCGTCGCGAGACTTTTATAACTTCTGCAATGGTTCTCAGCTTACTGCGCCCTTTCAGTATACCATGATGATTCATTTATATCTGAATTGTTGCTAAAAGTAACTTTTCCAACTTCGACTAAAGCCACTCGACCTGTAGATAGAAGAAATGAGTCAAAGCTGTTGAAGACGCGAGAGTTTTTGTCAATCACTGGGATACTCGTGAGAGTTCTGCTCATTCGCAGTGAAATTCTTGAAATGACATAAACCGTTTTCAACTTCAGTTCGTAATAGATCAAGGAACCTGACCCGTGTATGTTCTTGAGCACATATGCAGGCTACACACGGACAACCATTTCTGTTACTCAATGACAGTGGGTGTATATGAAAGACTGACTGCATCACGCAGGACCTGTTTTAAAAGATGCACTGACTCGGGTTCATTTTATCTCCGTCGAAATTAACTCTGTAATGTGAGGTTAAATCTCTATCCAATAAACGGGTTATCGGGAAAAACCGCTTCGTCCGCTAGTAAATCCTCAATCGACCGACTTTCAAACGGTCTCGAATTTGAGAGGCGAAAACCTGTGCTACTGTGTATGAGCGAGCCTCCCATAAGTAGTCTTTTTCCGACCAGTACCAGAGCCGCATTTGATTCATTCATACAACGTTCCTTTCAAAACGCGGCTTTCGTATATTTCACGAGGACTCATCGACGCATCACATGGATCGGAATCCCTCGACTCGCTCGATTCGCTTCGGACGCCGGCCAAAGCAAAGGGCGAATGGGTCAGTGGGCGCGGGGCGGATTCAAAACCAAGTGTGTCGTCAATTCTGGCGCACACATCTATTTAGTGGAACACGCTTCGTGTTGGGATACATACATTGAATATCATTGACCACCTTTCCACGACTGCCTTGTCTTTCATCGTCACCGATGCATTTGTATCAGATTTCGAGAATATGCTTTATCACTCAGCTTCTCACTCTATTATACCGTGATGACAAAAAGGATTCATTTCTTCGTGACGATATATGAGGATAAGGTTTATATGCGTCTCAGTTGCTACTACCTGACGTATCCAGGAATTCAGCTTGATTGTAATATCACCTGAAGGTCGCATATCTATCCGATGGTTTGTGCTAAAAGTTTGGATTTTTACTAATCTTTATATGCGACGAAGACCAAGGTGGTATATCGAATATTTCCACTTTGTAATACAACATATGTGCTGCATATTTGCCGAAGACGTTGTCCTGTTTCCGGCACAAACAACCCGCAAACGATTTCAGACCTTTCTCCTAAACCTTGACGCGACCACTAGCTAGAATTACCGGACAATCGTAACAGAGCTTACCAGACTAACTCACGCGCTTGTGGTTTGTGCAGCAGTTTCTATCGATTAGACTACCTATGTTGCTGTGTCCTATCTGGTAGAACTGTTTTTCTTTGTGGGTTAGCAACGCCAATGTCCAAAGTCATCTGAATTTCACTCTTGTGATTCGGAGTCTCAGGTAACCTGTCTTACTTCGACCATATGTATAGTTGGAAAAAAGACCAACTGTATGCTTCTGACCATCTCTGGAGTTAACTCAACCCCTGCACGCCACGTGCTACCCTATGGCTAAGCTAATGAAAGACAGGATCCGTTTTATGGTAGGGATACCAAGCGGCACCAGGAAAAACTGTCGTTTTAGCCGTGCTTTTTTTCATCGTAAAACTTTCAAGTGTGTCACAATGAAATGCAGTTTAGGAGCTCAAGGTACCCTTCAGTGGAATCGTCCAACCAGTCACCAAAAGCTGTGAGGATCATGTATTCCTTGGTTGTTAGCCTGCTCGCCGATCTTCGCAGTTGGGTTGCAATCCAACCCGGGCTACCTACATTCCACGATCATGTACTGCGCATGCCTAGCCATCGTTTGCAGAGAAAAGTGCTATCGTCCATTCCCATTCCAGAGTGACGTAAGTAGAGAGTTGGCCAACGTTTAACCTGCGAGAGGAAAATGAAATCGATTAGGAAAAGTTCGGGTACTGTCCCTGCGACTCACCATGCAGGATGTGATCCGCGTGGACCCTCTGTGCATGTTGGTCGATGCTGCAGGATACAGCTGTTAATCATTTTTGTCGTTGGTTTCCATGCGAATTGCGTAAATGAGTGTCTGCGGGTGTAAACACTGCGGAATGATTGTGGTAGGCTAACACTAAATCCCTTCCCCACCCTGTTCTAATTCGTTCTTCAATGTAAAGCTTTCGAGTAAATTACGGTTGTATGACAGCAAAGCATCAGTTCTGAACACTGATGTCATGCTGGCAATGATGCGCATGGTGATGATGTCTAGTCGGCGGTACGAAACTGTAGACTTATCACACTATTCAGGACATTGTAAATTCATTCAGGACAGTATGATTCTTTTCAGAATCATCTGAACCGAGCCATCAGAAACCAACAAAATCCGCTCGTCCTAATATGAAGCAGGGCTGGGAAACATGGTGCTAATTCAGCTCAGTACTTGCTTTTCTCTTTGATAAGACGGAAACTGCAGTCTAAAGGCATCGTCGAATCGTGAAACACGCGGATGGTGTACTAATTTTAAAGGCGCAAGCTATTTATTGCAACATTCACATTGTGAAACACATGATGAGTGCCTGTCCTGAACCGAAACTAATACCATCAGTGGGTCGCTGTCTCACCGTTTGTCATATCGGACAGACAGAATAATTTAATGTCAGTCAACTGATCGGACCATCATTTCTAACGCGTGGTTGTCATTTTCTTATCCTCCTTACTCTCGCTGAATGAAATTGTAATAGATGAGACTAACTTGGTGACCGACTGTTCTTCAACGTTGTTCTAGTAAACTGCACTTTATTGCGTGACCCAAATTTTATTCTTTTAATTCTATGAGTAACTTCTGTTCTCACAGAACGTGGTTTGTTGCCAGCTACGATCTTTGGAAGAAATACTGAAGTACTGTGGTAGAACACTCATCTCGTGGTTTTTTGATCGTTGAATTAAGTAACTAACATCAGAGCGCACGGAGCAGGTTCAAGAGTGTACCCCCCCCCACGAATCGCGAAGACTGACGAAATGCCTGTTCCGTATCTCCAAGGGAAACATGATGATTGGCCAGAATATCTAATTGTAGAACTAACATGGTGCACGGTTAATCTTAGCTGCGAGCTCCAGCGTTATTACAACACAATCCGTTTGACGCATGTCCTAGTCAGGAGCTCGGTAGGAAACACCATTTCTGCTTTATGCATGACCACAGCAAAAAGACGGGGTGAACAGTCTCATCGCTCATTTCATTTGCGATTTAGAGTTAGTAATTCACTCTAGGAAATTTAAATTTCTGCTCACGTCGAGAAATTCTTCATTTAACTGATAAAATAAATGTTCCACGCACAAAAATAGGCCCTCTATGAATTACTTCACGATACGATCGTTGTTTTCATGGTGTGTCCACAAATTTCTGACAAAAACCCATCAGTTGGTATTCAACCTATTCTGCTCCATTCCACTGGTATGTATGACACCCTGGTTGTCTGACACGTCTGCGGACTTTGTAAACGAATTTCTCTTGTTTGTGTTTTCAAGAGAAAATCTCTCAGGCAGTGCATCAATGCATACGGTAGTGTTCGTTCTCTCACACCAAGTGTAAACCGAAAGTTCTCGGAAATCAATAACGAATCTCAGGGTTCCGTTGTGTAGAAATGCTCACTGATTGGGCGCGACCCAGTTAAGAAAGGTAGATAAATCACAAATGCTCTCACAGATGTACCCACGAAACCGAGTAATCGAGATTTCTAGTGATAAGCTAATCTTTGAAACGCCCTTGTGGTAATTATAGGCCCCAATTAATTTCATTAATTGCTATTCTTGTAGTATGAATAGATAAGGAATTTTTCTAGTTAGTAGAATTTGCCGTCATTCTGTTCAGGTCATATTAGATTTATGAATCCCAGGCCCCCTTAAGCCTAATCCGGTACTGGGAACTGCGATTTAAGCGACGTGCTCAATATATTCCTCCGGTGCAGTGACGTTTATCCCTATAGGAACCACTACCCCAGGTCCCACAAACCTTATTGTCGGTTCGATGAACGAATCAGCAAAACACTAGCGATTTTGGTCCAGTTGCTGTTTCCCAAGCGTACTTGTTTGTATCACACACTGTTGATCATCATTGCGGATCATCCAAGCGTTAGGTTGCATTACTGTACTGCCAGTAAATGCAGCTAAATAACTTAAATTAAACTCTATTTCATATTAATGAGTGACTGGAAACCATTTATGTTTGCTTCAGCTACGATAGAACGGAATGTCATTCATTTGAGCTTCCGGATGATATAGCTCAGTGTTTAGAGCGCGAACTTACCAACTGGAAAGTCCGTGAATCGAACGGGACCTCTCGACTTTCCCTATCTAGACTTGGGCAGCCTGGCAGTATCCAAGTCCTTTGGATGACATGGCAGCTAGGTACCGAGAGGATGTTACAGCTGAGCAATTATCTTTGAACCTCCAGACCATTCAAGCTTAGCTCAACGTTCATGCCTACATTAATCATTAAGAGGCAATTACCTGCGTCGGGTTAGCTTCTCGTCAAAGATGACCAGGTTGACTGGAAGCTGTACAATGTCGATAGTGTTACGAAATCTAAGCGTGAAATGGACGATTACTTATGACTGATTGAGATCTATTCTAGACTTGTGATGATAGACGTAGAATGCAATATCACCTAACATCGCACGGTATAGCGTGAGATTTGTTCTGCAACAGTGGATATCGGGCTAATCTTAGTTGCTCACGCTGCAGCATAATTTAACAACTGTACTTTCAAACCGGTTATCAAGCAGCCTGTATTCGGCACATACAAGCTGGTCATTCTGATACAAAGGTACTGACATTTCAGACCACTTTCATCCAGAATATAATCCCGTCTCTATAGTCCATCAACACATGCCTACGGGTTGGAAACCACTGTTTCTACTATTGCATTAAGAGAGTGAGACAACCAACCAACTTTGGATTATCATGTCCGCCAATAAACCGTAAATGAAAGTCTTTACGTGATGAAGAATCTGCGGACAATCAGTTGAAAGAAGATAAATTGGCGAGTGAAACAGAACAAGGCCGTGGAAAATGTTGCACAGTGTCAGATCGATTTGATAAGCTTTCTGCAAAAATGGCCATTTTGGTCCAACGGAGATTTTCTGAGAGTTGTATTCCAAAATGGTCTAAGCAGACATAGAGGATCTCTTCGAAAGTAAACCCTTTGATTCAGCGATCATTCAGTTGTTCCATCGCCTCCAACGCGTGGCGCTCATCCTCGTATCCTTCTTATCCTTGATCAAGGAATCATTAGCAGGGGGCGAGATGGCCCAAGTGGTTAGATCGCGAATTTACTGACCGGAAGGTCCGTGGTTCGAATCCGACCTCTGCCTCTCGACTTCCCCTGTCTAGGTTTGGGCAACCTGGCAGTACCCCAGCCCTCGTGCATCGTTCGTGTGGCATGGCAGCTATGCACCGAAAGGGTGCTACAGCTGAACGAATCATTAGCAGCCAGAACCGCTGTATTTTTTTATGTGGTAAGTAGCTGCGGGACTGAACTCAACTGCAACAAAACCTTCCTCCCCCAAAACGGACCGCTTCAACCGGATCCGGTGGGTGCTCTCTGTTGGCGTGACCACTGTATTGGTGGTATCTGGCAGTCATTGAAATATCGCCAAACTTCACCAGACTATGATGGTTATACGTCTGAAAATATTGGCGGTAAACATTTGGTCGATCGACCCGATTATTACATCATTACTAAGCTTACAATCACTCAGACATACAATATTTGCGAAATATCGCACTCAGTTTGGCTATCCAAGACTACGGAAAAACGTACAATACGATTGATATAGTTCAGAAATTGCCGACAATCAGAATAAACAATCGTGGATAGATTAGTGAACGTTTCAAACCAATCTTAGTCAAGAGTATCGAATTTTCTTTCCAAGAGGATGCTCTTGTTTGATGTCCTCTTTCAAGAGGAATCATGCTGCTATGAACTAATTGGGTCGTAAAATATCTTTTTACTGCGAACTGGAATTCATTCTTGAAGGGGACTGTTTCATCCAGGAATACCGTTGTATTTCGCATTGGTATGGGATCGTCGCTATATGGGTTGATCAGTTCCATCATTTACTGTATCCCCCTTATTGATTTTTTCCCTTCTCCTGTCCCTTCATCTTTTTTCAGTGTGTTTTGCCTTTGTTTCCGTTTGCTTAACGAATTTCGTTCTGACGTTCTCGTAGATCAATTAAACAAGTTGCCGTTTTTATTATCCATTTTCTCATTTCTATTCTGTAGTTCTTTATCTTGTTTTCGACCTCCTATCACTGTCTTCATATTTTTTCCATTCCAGCCAAAGCGAACCGGAGGAAAATGGAAAAACTAGGTTAGTTTCATCTGATTCCGTGTCGCATGCACAGGAGGATAAACCACTGGATACCAAACTATTGATAATCGGTAACCGTCAGCTACCCGCTACTTGTTACCCGTAAACATATAAATTCAAGAAACACAAAGTACGCGGGAAACACCAAATCCACTTGTTCTCACTAAACAGCTTATTTACACACACACAAATCGGTGTACTCCCGCCGAGTCACAACTCTTGTATGATGATGAATAGCTGTGGCGCTTTGGGGTCTACGATGAGGACACTGGAAAGCTGCCGTATCATGTGGCCGACTTGAGCTAATTCGCACACTCTTTTGAATGAACTGATAACGATGGGTGGGGTCAACACTGGTAGCTTGCCCTGGTAGTTGATGACAATCGTCAACCGGCTTGTACATCAGCTGTCGAATGATATTATTCAATGGGGTGTGCACTGTCACAGTGAGAGATTTACTCATACGAGTGCGCTTTTCTAATAATTGCTTCATCACCGGACCTGCTACTCGGTGTCGGGCTTCCCTTATTACACTGTTAATGCCACATCAACTCGTTCGAATTTGACGGCTGACTATAGAAAAATCCGATGGAACGGTCGGCACAAGTAAAGCTCCTTATTCACTGTATCGTGTTACAACCAAGACCGGTTCTAAACGGTCTACCGCCAGAGGGGTTAACAGCGTTAACTTCATTAACGAAGGATAAATTATTGCATATAACTCAAACCAACAAGGAGACTACGTAAACGGCCCATTTCACATCTGACCCATATGAATGACTTGCACCATCAAATGAAGTGCTCATATTGAACAAAGCGAGACGCAAGGCATTCTGCCATAAACTAAGGCATGTTGTCTCTCGAGTTACATTTTTATGCAAGCTATTTAGCTGGTCGGTCGGTTAATTATCCACATCAGAAGTTATCGTCCCTTACGGCTGTTGTGATACGCCGGACCCAGAACTGGAAGTCGGAGATCTTGCTTCTCCGGGGAAGTTCCGATCTCTCAGACACTTGTTGAGGACGATCCGAATGTGAGTGTGCGATCCGGCAGGTGAGGAATAGGCTGTCTCTTCATATCGTAAGCTTAACAAACCCGTAGGCTGTTTGTCTCTTCTCTCCCTTTGAATATCTGGTACAACTTCGGTCGATACACACAGGTTGGAACCCCGTCCTTCGAACATCTTGTTTCCGTCACTATGCCAAAGCTACCACTCCCCTTTGAACATCTGGTACAACTTGGGTCGATACACACAGATTGGAACCCCATCCTTCGAACATCCTGTTTCCGTCACTATGCCAAAGCTACCACTACAACCAAGTTCACTTGGGGTTAGGGTCATGTTTCCATGTTTAATACGCATGTACGCCCAGCCAGTTACACGTAGGAAATTTACATTGAACAGGTAAATTTTTATTGTAGAACTATTTGTAACCCTATATACGATCGTCACGGTCCTGTATTCGCCACCACGTGACATGGTTTTTCTCTTTCGCTGTACAAACTCACGCATTATGGCTACAACTGTATCTATAAATCATGCCACGGAACACGAGTTACCTATGTATTTACCTCGTCTCTTTGGGTTGTTGTGTTGATATACAGCTGCGTCAAAATAACCCACTCTTTTCTTGTCGTTCATCTTAGGCCACTCAGGGAGCTCCAGTTTGACCAAGTTAATCGATTCCGTACGCAGGTCGTGGCCAGATCACCCAAAGACAGAACACAAGAGTAAGTGTGTTTCAGTACACATGCATCTGATCTCAGTTGCAGTTGTGACCTGTGTGTGCACTTTCTGCCTCGGTCGTTAATGATCCGTGTGCCACGCTTCCATTTCAAGTAGCTGGAATCCACTGGCGTTTTGGTCCAGCGGATACGTTTGACCCACTTTACAACATCTTCTCTGTCCCAATATCGGTTTCATCTCAGTTGTTAGGCTGTGGGTAAATAATTCCTCAGTTGGCACCTCGCATTTTAACTCACAATTCTGCTTCGTACACTACTGATCCTGAAGTTACGAGGTTTACCAGCTATCCATCTCTGGACCTTACTGACTCAATTGAATTTACCTACACTCTTAGGGGAGTGATGATGCGGTTTTTAAAATTAGAAGCAGAGCATTTAAAGATAATCAACATATGCGGTTGGTTGTTGGTATATCCACTCACATTTGGTTACTGTTATCCCTGGTGAGGCCGATCGCTTCTTTCAATTTCCGATATTCTGGGGAACACTTGGAACGAACCTGTACCGGTGCCCGATGGCCCTATCCTCCTGGCATGAACGCAATCCTTTCTTCAGTGTGAAGTTTCAGATATGGGTAGTTGCTGCTGTACGAATTATATGATCCTACCTGATCTATCGCTTGCTATTGCTATATATTTCTGGGTGTTTTCAGCTATTGATCTTGCCAACTGACGGCCCTGGCACTTGACACCACCTTTCACTTCTCTGGGTGGGTGCCATGGGAACTTCACCCAAGCCCACATCTGTCACCGGTTTCCGTCCTAAGTATGGCCTAAAGTCAGTAACTTCAGACGCCTTGGCTGCATCACAATGACAGCCAGTTGATATGCTCTATGCCCTTCTTCGGAATGCCGCCTGCGAATGCTTCCTAGAATGCTGGATATGACCACGTAATAAAGATTTGACTGAAGTCTGCAATCATGATAAAACGGTCGCCATTTTCAATAAGTCGTCCAAAACCAAATTTTCCAACGGTATGAGGAAAATGAACTTTTTGTGCGAAATTGTATATTCCACTCACCGGCGACAGGGAGGATGTCGCGTAGGAGTATTCTCGAAACATTGACTTGCGGCTTTCCGCAAAACTCATCCTTCGAAGCTGGGTCCAAGGGACATCGTTGGTGTGTGCACAGTACTGATGATGGGGGCGAGATGGCTCAAGTGGTTAGAGCGCGAATTTACTGACCGGAAGGTCCGTGGTTCGAACCCGACCTCTGCCTTTCGACTTCTTCTGCGTAGGCTTGGGCAACCTGGCAGTATCCCAGCCCCCCTTCCTTCGAGTAGAATGGGAGTTAGGCACTGGAAGAGTGTTACAGCTGAACGACTGATGATCACTGCTGATCTAGCGGTCTTCCTTTCGAGTGTGCCATGTGTTTCGGAGGGGTTGTTGTCCGTACGATGGATGGTTCGCTCGCTCGCCCATTAAAAGGAGTTTCGTGTTCTAACGTCTACTGACATGACAGCCTGTAGTCAGGCCGCATTTCCAGCACTTTGTGACGTACGATGTCGGAACTGGTGACAAACAGATGATGTCCATATCGAGGTCCCGGATAGTGCTCCGTCGGATACATACCCATAGTCGGATCACAGTATTGTCCTATTAACCCTACAAACTTGTCGATGGCTTGTCATTTGTACGCAGCCTTGCCTTATGACTGTTGGTTTCGGGGCGTTCTAAGCAGTAAATTGAACTAGATCGAGTCGAATGAGGATTTATGTCCAGCCTACTGTCGTTTGAACAACTAAATTTAGATTTCAAAGTTTACCGCAGCTAGTCGTGAACACTTGTAATTGGTGCGCAGCGTTCTAATCCGTTCACGCGTATGCTTGCGTGTTTCAGGAGTACATCATTATCCGCATGCTCTTGCATATTGTAACTAACTTACCCATCCATTTGTTATTGAATTCTCGCAGTTCCGTAGAAGTCATTTTCAGATGAGGTGTTACTGTACCGAGGGAGCACCGTATCTGAGAGAAGGAAGGAAAACTAAATACTCCGTGTTATCGGAACTTTCTTACGGTTTGGGTAGCTGTAGATTGGAGACTATCATTCTGATGCGTATAGCGCCGTCCAGCTGTACATCATCGTTATCATCGACGCATGCCATCAGTGTTCAACACCGATGCTCCGCTGCCGTACAACCAATGACGCACTATCTGAGCAGATGCCATTTGCCAATATGACTGAGATTCTTCGTCGCACCTGTCGCTATCAAGCCACGGAGCAACGAAGATCCGTCCGATAGACGGTTCATGGACATGCAGAGTACCCAGTTTAGCGTGTGACCTTCCTTCGTGAGGGGGTGGGGGTGGTACGGTGTAGTCTTATTGCGGACGTTGTCTAATCGAAAACCGGCTGATTGTTAGACAGCACGCTAGAAATTTGCAACGAAATCATTAATTACCTGGGTTTGCTAGCCTCGGCCATGTTTCTAACTCTTATGGAACCAAATATCAATTACCAGTAGTTATCAGCGGATCATTCGTTGCCCAGTTAAATCTCATGCCACGCCATACCGCATCCCAAAATGTACCATACGGTCTGCTCGCGAGATTGCGTAGAGCTGAT